CAAAATTAATATCTTTTCAATTTTATGTGAACAACTTTACAGTTTAGCTAAACAAAAATGCTTTTAAAAACAGATGTAGAAAAAAAAGTGCGTAAAGCACTTAAAGGGTCACTTCACCCATTTGCATTAAGCTTTGTATCTTTAGAAACCCAGTCATATTTTTGAATGGTCATGGTTTATTCCCTTATTTTCCCCTGAGATGGGAGAAATAAGGATTTAAGTGTTTTACTTTCTGCTTATCGTGACGTAAAATCATCATTTTGCGTCACGATAAGCAGGAAGTCATATTTCATTAAAATCTTTAGAACTACACATATTAGCTCATTATTATTCCAGGGTGTTGGACCCACTCACCCTACAGGCCTATTGCAGATCAGTGGGTGGGACTTCACTTGCAGAAACTGAAATCAATATCTTGTTTGGAAGCTAAGCTAACAAGTGCTGTGGAGTAAGTTATGACAATGACGGAAGAAACTAAACATGATATGGAAGAAGAGGATTTTGAAGTTCTGCTGCTCGAATCCGATGTTCGTGGCTATCTTTACGAGTCGCAGTATAATTTAGAGCAGCTGAGGCTGATGGAGGAGCAGGAGACGCCAAGGCGGCGGCCTGTAGTGGTCGAGGACCCCGCACTGACTCTGGAGCTGGGCGGATTGCTGTTGCCTGTACTCTCGCTGCGTGCTTCGGCCTACGGACACAGAGTCCGTCTGCTGCAGAGAATTTAAACGATGGCAATTTCTCCTAGAGGAAATCTCTGAATCAGACGAGCACACGGACGTTTGTGTTGTGATAGTTTTGCCTGACTAAACATCCAGGTTTCATGCAGTAATTCACCAAACAGAAATAAATACAAATGAGGAGTAATTCATTAATGAATTTGCCAATGTAACGTTAAAAGGGTTTGTTGTTGGGAAGAAGGAGGCAGGAACCGGCGAACATTTAAGCATTTTAATAGTAAAATGAACAAATACAAAACGAAAGTATAAGCCAGCAGCCCCTCATTGGCGACTGCTGTAACGTTACACACAACAGAAACAAAACACAACATAAAATCAGGCCTGTTTCTCTCTTGATCTGCCGTCGTCACTCCCTGTGCAAGACCGGCGCGCGCCTCACAGGTGTCTTTCATCAGTCTCTTTTTTCTCCCGAATAACAAGAATGAAAAGTTATGTTGCTATATGCTACACACAGAAAGACACTTAGTAATTTCGATTATTATATTCACTTAATACTTGTCTGTGGATTCATTAGAAACATTAATTAGCTCTCCACAGTACAACTGCAAGCTTCAGGATGAAACCCCTGTGTCTATCAAGTAATTAATTCATATATCAGTGATATTACACACAAGTGAACTGCTCTCCTACGGAATAAGCTTTTCAGGATACAGGTTAATCCTGATTTCATCATGCATAAAGCTGTGGCAATTAACCATGAATCACTGTGCATAAACAACTAAAAACCTACTACCACTCTCTCAGTATCAAAGGCTCAAGAAGGACAGAAACAGAACCTGACTTTACCTTTAAAAACATATAATGGATAATTGCAATCTTTAAAAACAAACAAACAGTAAAGATATTAGCTAAAAATAGCTTTAGAAAACAACATTTGAGCTCTGATTTTGAGAATTTTATTCCATATAATAATCCCCATGCTGACCATAAATCAAATACATAATCATGCCAATTCAAAAAAGATGTATTTGCCAAGAGCCAAGACTTGGATTTCGGTGAGATGTTTATTTAACCTTCCCTCCTCCCTTTCATTCAGCCACACTGAGAAACGCTAATGCACAAGACTTGTTCTAATAGTAGTGCACAACCATATAAGTTCATGCTAAGTTTACTGTTGGAGAGGATAAACATCAATGACACTAAATCAAGTTTAGAATGAAAGGGAATGCACATATTATTTATATTAATACCTTCCCACCCTTTACAAGGATACAACAAGCATTGACAGTATTTGCTCTGGAGGGTGTTCAACTATGCATTTCCCAACTTTTATATTTGAAGGTGGCTGCAGAAATCAGGTCGGGTAAGTTTAGCCTGGAGGGGACCGAAGAGTGTTGGGGGTGGGGGCGGTTGCTGCTGCCTTAATACATTTTGTTTGCACATTGCCTCTCAGTTGTTGTATGTGGACCTGCTTTTTTATGTGTGTGTGGATCCCACACCCACATAACTGCAGAACCCAAGGAGATGTTTGGAGTTGACACTTGTTAATAGGGTGTGTCCTATTCCAGTAGTGACTCATCAAACTCCCTCAGATTCACCTGTGCACTGAAAGTGTGCAGTTACCTTTACAAACGTGAGAACCGAAACACAGTTTTAATCAGGGCAATCTTTTGAATTTTGACACAGATGAAATCATAGTTTATAAATAATATATATACATGTCAAAAGTTTGGAATCATTAATATTTTTTGTAATGTTTTTGAAGTCTCTTACGTTCACCAAGGCTGCATTTATTTTGATCAGAAAATACAGTATATCAGTAATATTATTAATTATTATTACAATTTAAATTGTTGTATTTTAAGATATAATTAATTTATTATCAGTTATTATTTGTCCTAAATTATTAATAATGGTTCTGGTATAATCAATGTTGAAAACTGTTTTGCTGATTACTATATTTGTGGAAACCATGATACATTTTGTTCAAGATTCATTGATGAATCAAATCAAAATCAAAACTTCAAACTGAATCAAATCAAAATCAAAATGAATCAAAACTTCAAAACAGCATTTATTTGAAATAGAAATCTTTTGTAACATTACATGTGCCTTTACGGTCAAAGTATTCATTCATTTCAGTATTCAAAAGTCATTAAATTTCTTTCTTAAAAAACAAACAAACAAACAAAAACATTTAAATAGTACTAAATATTATTCCAAATTATCCCAAACTTTTAACCAGTAGTGCACACTTCTGGTAAAAGAAAGAAAAAAAGTAAAAGAAAGAAAAAATGCCAAGCCAAATATGGCAAAATATTTATTGGTCTTTTAATGGACATAACCAATTTAATCACAAATCATTGGTCCAAAAAACGAGCAAGAATTGCACAAATACTGTAGGTAACTTAATAGCCTGGCCCAATGTTTAAGCCTTTTGGGTAAACTTGCAGACAGCTTTTTATCAGGATCAAGACTTAGTGTTGTTCCACTCAATGTTGATGTCTTCAAATCTGAACTCTGACCTGACCAAAACATGAGCCTGAAGGACTTGTTCTTAATGCATTTCTTGGTTGTCTTTGCAATTTGGGCAATTTGCATTAACTTTTCATTTGTGGGAAGCAAGCCATTCTGCAATCTTCTCCTGTACTCCAACACGTTAAATGACTTTTTACAGTGAAGTACTCCACACAACTCTGCTGATTCACCCTGAATCAAACTTCCAATATCCTGCCAAAATCTTCATTCTGTCTTTCATGTTTTTCTAAAACATATAGTAAGTATTATAGTCAGTATTATAGTAAGTAAATATTTGCTTAGTTATCACTCCTTTCACCTTTTTTTGTAAGTGTAAATGCAAGTAAATGGGGCCTAAAAAGTTTTGATCTTGTCCACTTTCCACCACTTCCAGAAGTACGAAGGAGTTGAGATGTGAGAGGTTTAGTTCATCACTATCTGAACCACTTAAGCTGGAGGGGGAAGTAATGGAACAAGTTTAAACCTTCACATATTTGGACACTGAGATTGATAGGCATCTATCCTTTTCTCAACATGTGAATATTGTCTATAAGAAATCTCAACAGCGCTTATTTCTCTTGAGAAGGTTGAGGAGTTTTAATGTGAGACAAAATATCATGATAACAGTGTATCACGCTCTTGTTGAATCAGTATTGACCTTCAATGTTGCATTTTAATTTTGTTTCTGCTAAAAATAAGAAAAAATTATCCAGGGTAAACAAACAAGCAACTATAATTATTGGGCCCCCCCAGATTCAACTAGTAGACCAATTTAATTGTGCAGTAAAGAGGAAAGCAGACACCATCGATACTGACCCCTCTCACCCTCTTTACAGCTCGTTTCAGTTACTGCCATCAGGTTGCCGCTTTAGAGCACCTTTGGCCAAAAAGAAAGCGTACAGGAACTCTTTTATTCCTACTTCTATTTCTATTTTAAATAAGACTAAAAAGTGTCATTAGTATATTGGACTTGAGCCTTTATTGTTTTTGCATAGTGGAAGGCAGGCCTACTTTTTTCCTTGTAACAATTATTAATTGTGATGTGTGTGTGATTGTATTGTGTATATGTGAGCCTTTTTATCCAAAGAAAAATTTCTGTTGATAGATAATAAAGTTTTTTGAATTTGAATTGAAGTAATTGGAGACGCATTTAACCAGATTGCTTTCTTAGTGTATATGAAGAGTTCAGATGCAAAAGCCTCTAAATGCCATTTGAAATGTTCTTATTTAATGATGATTTTTTAGCAAACTATATATATATATATAACTATATATACTATATATATTTATAAACTATATAATATACAAGTTTGATAAAAATCATCATTAAAGAAGAAAATTTCAAATGGCATTTAGAGGCTTTTGCATCTGAACTCTTCATATACTAATGTGGTCAAATATTTTTTTTAACAGCCACAAAAGAATGTAATGGGATTTTGAAACTGTAATTTGTAGAATGTAATGTAATTTTGCAAGTGCACCAAAACAACCGATTCAAACTTCGCTATGTTCTGGCAAAAAGCATGGATTATGTTTGAAATCTGTGTTACCAAGTATCCTTTCTATTCACTTCCTTTACAGCTTCCTCATAAGCGGAGTAAAGACTACATTCATTCAAACATGAAAATTATGTAAAGTGTGATGAAATAAGGGGGGAGGGGTTAGAAGAAAACCAAAAACAAGTGGTCACAGGAGATGGATTTAAAACACATGTTAGGACCACTGTAATGTTTCTAAGATGACCACCTGTGATCATTGGACCACTGAAAACACAGTCCAAGGTAAAAAAAAAAAACTGGAAGGTACCTTCATGTGCAAACACCCCAAAGTCCTTGCATGACAGGGCAGCGAGACAGCAAGTCATCTGTAAAAACGTTTAGAAGCAGCCAATCAATTTGATACCAGTTGCTTATTAGTCATTGCACAAATGGGTCAGAAAAGTAAAATTCATTCATCTATGTTTCCATCCACTTATTTTTAAACACATTTTGGGATATCACATGCATGCAAACTTTAAGCACAAATTATAAAAATGTGGATAGAAAATTAATCTGCTTAACTGAGGCAAATATATTTTTTTATTCAATAAGAAGGCACGTGCATAATCTACAATCGAAACAGATTTACCGAATAAATGTGACAAAAAACTCATGTGACTTGTGTTAACTGGACTAACCAGTGGTCCAATTTCATTGCTCAGATTCTCAAATATTGGTTTGATCATTCTAAAATGCCAACGCCAATGTCTATCATCAGAATGATTTGGCATAATGATTTATGATGTAGGAAATAAGAGCCTGAGTGGCTTCCCTGATTGCAGCAACTTACATTTTTAGTACAGATATTTTGCGCCAATTTCCCAGGAAGTGACAAGTTAGTTCTCTTGAACAGATGGGATGGAAACACTGCTCTATTCGCAAATGTTCTATGTGATAATCAAGTTTTGTTAAGTTAAAGTTAAATTCGCAACTTTGGAAACATAGCTACCGTCACATTCTGAAGTGTCCATACTATTTTTGGGACCATTGACTGTATGTGTATTTAGGGGGGCCTTGCTCTACATTTTGTAGATGTAGCTTTTTAATGACTAAACATCTACTTGAGCCCAATAGAGTGCTGAAGTTACGACGTCACTCTGTAGGCCAAAACGCGGAAGTGAGTTAGCATTTTAGCACTTCCGGTTCCCTCACTTTTTTGAATTTTTGAATGGGTTTTTGCTAAATCGCCTGAAATAAGGTCTGTGGTGAACAAAGCCTCTAAATATTTTCACGTTTTGATCTATGACATAAAACACACAGTTATAACCTGCTTGTGGTTTTTAAACTTTATTGTGTCTGCTTGAGTTTTTTAAAATCTTTATATAGGCTTCAAAATCTATACGTTTTGGATTAACTTGTAAAGATTATCTTGATAGAGAAAACGTGTAAGGGTCACAAATCTTTGTTAAACACAGATCTTATTTTTTGCGATTTTCCAAAAGTCTATGGTGAAAATGCATTGCTTTTCGACCGAGGGAACCCATGCACCCCTAGTTGTCCTACAAAGTGACGTCATCACTTCGGCACTCTATATGGTCTAATTCTAAGGTGTGTCTTTTTCTGCCAGACTCTCCAAAATGCCAGCAGCAATGGAGGATTGTGCATTGCAATTGGCTGTTCCCTGTGGATACAGACTGTTGCTGGAGACAGACAGAGTGGGCAGTCTTCACTTACCTCAGTCATGAACAGGCAGGCAGCATTGAGGAGAAAGAGAGAACCTCGATCCTGTGATAGCCATATGAGATTCCACATGCTCTGATGAGTCATTTCTCCCTCCCTCCCTTCCTCATCCCCCACTCCATCCCTCCCTCCTCCCTACGAAGCGTATGAGCCTGAGTCATCAGCTAGCTTTCTTTCTCTTGCTCCATGCATGCTGCCTGTCTCTTTTCTCTCTTTCCCACCCTTTATTTCTCTCACTAATTATTTTTTAGTTACTCTGCTGCCACTTTCTACCCGTCGCTCTCGCGCTCTCTCACTCTTTTCCTGCATGAAACAAACAGCAGAAGAACAATCGGTTAGAAATGTGCGTACATTCTAAGCAACGCCACTGGTTTTCCCCGATCACATTAAAAATTCCCCTCACTGCTTGCCTGGGAGAAAACGGATGGCCCTATGCCAAGGTGTCAAAGTGTGACGTGAATGAGAGAAGCAGATATATTTGACATAAGAGTTGCTGATTTGAATGTGCAACAGATCTCAAGCACTGGATCTGTTTTTTTATTGCATATGGGAAACATTTTTAGCTGAAACATAACCAATTGTAGTAACAAACCTCAGATTCTCTAAACACTCTCTCTAAAGGAGGATGTCCATAAGGAAAGCACATTTGGAGGCTAATCACTATATTACAGATCCTGACGGTTCTGTTAGGATTGATTTAAGAGTTCATCGCTGAGCATTGCAAGAGTAATAAGGATTTTTAGGGGCATTATGACTGGGTCAGTATAACACAGCTGCCCCTAAAAGTCCCTCACTTTTCTTGCTGACTTATTCACAGTTTCTTTGTCCGGGATCTGCCTGGTGTTCAAGAACGTTTAAGGTTTATACATGGTTCTAAAGACTGTGAGGAAACCAGACTAAAGGTCAGTCTGGACTATACTATCCCTCCTCTCCCTGAACGAAGGCCAACCGTAATGTCAGACCCTTATTATTAGAATGCATTAAATGACCAAACTATTTCAAATGATGAACTGTGCCCAATTTCCAACTGGCAATTTTTGTTAACCTGAACATTAGAAAACATTCATTTACAAATGACAAACGTCTCACAGTACAGAACTTTGCGTGCCATGCTTGTTCTGTTTAAATTATGCAAATAAAATAGAGCTCTAACTGGAAATTGTAAGAATTTAAAAACTGGATTGTAAGAATTCTAAGCAGTTGCTTAATACAAACTCCAGTGTGTTTCAGTGATGGCAATTTTCTGTAAGACTGCTAATTATTTATTTTCTGAAAATGTTTCAATCATTGGTGAATGGGAAAATAACTAAATATGAAATAACTTGTTTTTTTATAAAATCAATGTATGTTTTAACTTGCGTTTTTAATTTCTACCTTAGTGAGGTGAAAAAGAGCAAAATAGATAATTTATGGTATTTAAATAGGAACTAATCTCATAGCATCTAATGAAATAACTTTCAATAAACTATTCTATGAATTATTATTCTTGTATCTTTTCATGTGCTGCATTGGAAGAGGTTAGTTTACAATGATTACAGGCCTTTGCAACTGTCAAGATGTGTGACTGAGCCAGAACAATATTCTGTGGGAAACTATTGGCAAGTAGCTTTGAGAACTGTTTAATATGACAGCCTATATCAGACATGTTTGGAAGCTATTGCAGAATTTATTCACACGAACAAAGCTTCTTTTAACCTGCCTCTGCCACTCCCTATAGTAAAATCTGAGTTTAAAACAGCGCTAAAAACTAATTTGTTTGGATTAGCTTTTAATATGTAATCTACTTGTTTTTTTTGTTCTTTTTTAATGATTTTTATTTTATTTTATTTCTAATGCACCATATTTTGACTGACGATAGGAATATTGTTGGTGCAATGTGTATTGTATTGGGATTATTGTACAGCACTTTGGTCGGCCAAAAGCCGTAAATGTGCTCTAGAAATAAACTAACTTGAACTTGAAAATATGACATACTTTTATCTTCACAGAAAGTTTATGTTTTTGATGTCTTTTAATTGTCCCTAAACTCTTTTTCCCCCCGGTGAAAGTTAAAAAACATAATTTTATTCAGTGTTACTTTGTTATTAATTTCGAAATCTTCAAAGAAAATTACATAATTTATTTTAGTAAACAAAAAAGCTCTCAACTTCCAAGCACTTTTGGTTTGAAGATAATAATTCGGTGTATCAAATATTTAATTTGACCATTCATAATGCATAATAAAAGTTCACAAATACAAACCCGCAGAGTAAAATATTTTCTAACTCAATCATACTTTTTATTTTATTTAATTTATTTATAAATATTTGTTTTGCTATATTTTATAGGACTCTGTAAGAAGTGACTTCTGTCAAATGTTTCCAAAGCGCTTACAGTACTTTTATAATACATACAGATAGGCTACTGTAAAACTTATGACTAAGGATAATTTTTGATTTTTCTACTATATTTATATTTTAAATTATATTCGTTTTCAATTCTATGTATAAATAGTCCGATTTAATATGTTTAAATGTAGGCTATACCCTAAATAAGTAGTATAGATTTAAATAAAAATTTAAATAAAAGGTTTAAGAAGGTTTGAAAAGTTTTTGGAGTGAAGAACAGAAATTTAAACAGTATGACGTCAGCGATCCCATAATGACAAAAAAAGAACAGAATATCGAACAAGAACCTGAACAAGGATACAACTAATCTATTATATTTCAGCAATTTGTCATTATCAGTTGCCTACTGGAGATAAACTCTATATAGCCTACACATATATTCAGCACGGTCAATTGACAGAGATGGTCACATGGGCCGAAAACTGGGACTTTGTAGGCCAGTTGAATAAAAGGAAAACTCACCTTGCCCGCAAAGACCCAGCCTCTGACACACTATCAATTGTTGCTGAATTCTGCCGCAGGTTGCGTGATCGTGCGTTAAAAGTGTTTTAGTCTGTGGTAATTTACATGGCATTTGCAGTTGATAATCGATAAATCTCGGAAACGCGGACACATCCTATCGCACATGACATGAGAAACAACGACACGGAACGCGTTCAGTGAAGAGCGAGTCTATTCAGCCACCAGGGTCTCACTTTTTTTACCTGTCATTTTCACCATGTCCACCACCAGCCTTTCTCCACGGAGCTTCTTTATAAAGAAGGGGCATATCTCCGGAAGAAGAACGAAAAATGTTGCCGTGTAGTGAGAAGTTGCTGCTACTCTTCACACATTATCATCACCCGCCCCCTTATTTGCACCCAACTCCTCATGAAGACACAATCCACAGGGACCGCTTACAACAGTCTCCCTTTGCGCAAAAGTAGACGAAGGGACAAAGTCAGTATTACGCGGTGGAACAGTGAGCCTCGTTTAGGCTACTGCGCAAGCCGTTTGAAATTCTCCATGTATGTTGTTTCTGCCAGAGCGACCCCATGTGCTCGTTATTAATGAATTATCCATCTGGCTGCACATACAGTCTATCATATTTGTAGGCTACATGTTGCGCTGAAGCGCCACCGACTGGTTCCTTCGACAACATGCGGGATGAATTGTGTCTGGGTCTAGAATGAGTCCTACTATGGTGAAGGCTTAGCTCATGAATATTAATTACGACAGACTTACGCTGCTTAGTAACCTTCCTAGTGTCCATTCACGTAGCCTACAACTATTAATCCTCGTATTTTGGTCAAACCGCCTGCTGTTTGGCCTACTAGGTAAACGTCACTCATCCTAGTTATTCAAAAGCCAGGGTACTTTATCGTAGGATGTCTGTTGGCCTATCCGCGCCCGGGACCTCCCAGAACTGGATTGTTGATGTGACTGCATATCCTGGTGCGAAACTGTTGATTAGCCTAATGCATAGATCTTGTCATAATAAATTATGTACTTTCTGTTATAACGACTAATATGAGATAGGAAATCACAAAAATTCGCAAACCGCATGCAGTTCGTCATCTCTTTTCAATAACCTAATAATTATAAATTATCCAGGATACATTTTTGTTCGGTTCATTCTTTTCAAAACCAGTTCCATTAAAATGATTAGTTCATTTCTCACTTTTAACTACGACTTTTGCCTCAATAAACTCTTGATCAGTACTTAGATAGTTGTTAAGTTTATCGGGTAGAATTGGGGGATGTTGGCTAGATTATGCAGAATAAGGCATTAATATGTGCGTAAGTAAGCCTACTAAAAAACAGGCAATATCCTGCTTGCTAATTAGTAACTAGTTGAGAATTGGATCCTAAACTAAAGTGTTAATCAGCTTGCTCTATTTATTTATTTATTTTTTAAACCGGCTATCATTTTGGTAAAATAATAATTAGAACAGATACATTCCATTTATACCGACTCTAGCCAAGTGAAAAAAATATTTAATGTCTAGCTGTGTATCCTGTAATTTGGCAACAGACTGTAAAGATGATAATACACGGGGCAACTTTTTGAGCAATGCTTCACTTTCCCAAGCTAGCTATACGTGGGCCTCCCATGTGTCTCACCTGTTTGCAACAATGCTAAAAAAAAAGTTACATCGTATATCATCACCTTAAATGTATGCCTTTTTTCTTCAGTTGCGAGGCAGAAGCATAAGGGGGTTGATGAAAAAAGGCTGCTCCCAGTAGCACCTCAATGCAGAACATGAGATCCACAGGGTCGGATCACGATCCAAGGGGTGGAGATGGGTAGGATTAGGGTTGGGTTTAGGGATTAGGGCTGGGTTTAGGGATCAGGGGGCGGAGTTGGTTAGGTTTAGGTGTATGTAAGGTGGGAGGAGTTGGATCTGGATCCGACTCCTCCCCATGGATTTCATGTTCCGCAGTGAGGACGTTTATTTGGATAGATTGGATTGCTCTATTGCAGTGGAGCGGCTCCCTGTGGTGACCATAGGTGGTGACACAATAGACACAAACATTCGAACTGTCCTAGTATTAAGTTTATACAGTAAATAAAAATAACATACACGCAATATTTTAAATGCTAAAATACCAATATTCCGCTTGTAAGATTATTATTTTTTTTTATCTTTCTGCAGTTTACGTATTTTTCCCTACATTATATTTTAAAGAGACATGGTTTTGTCCTCAACAGTTGATTTACATTGAACAATACTCAAAAGAAGAAACGCCCTTCACGTATGTCGTCATCACGGGAGCCGAGCCGCTTCGGGCTCGCGGCGGAGTATTGAGGATTTTTGTCATACGATACGGTGGCCGGCCCGTCATATTTTCACGAATATTTAACTGTACAAACGATAATTCACATCGCATTTGTTATTCAGCTAACATCGGCGATCATTCGGTGAGTCTTAATCATTGCTCATCACGCTGTTTGTCAGAGGGATGTCAGCTGATGATCATGTTCTCATCGCCTCTCATCATTTCCTAAAGTCTTTTATCTGACTGCTTCAGAAACTCGCAGAAACTACACAGTGTATTTTATTCAGGAGGGATGATTATTTTGCCCATAGGGCGATATTATCGGCCTAGTGATTTGATCAATAATGGCCTGTAACGTTACATCAGTGCAAAGTTAGATTCCGTTCCTCGTAGCTTTTTTGATTTATGATTGAATTAGAGGTAACGTTACTAACTTGTGTTGCACTGTTACTGTTGTGAAGGATGTCATGCCATGCTTATATTGCATAAGTAAACATGAGGGTCTGTGAGATGTATCTGGGCTCATTCAGTCAGTGGATAGACTGGACTGGTCAATACGAGCAGTAAATGTTTTCACTATCACAAGCAATTGAAGCAAACACATTATAATGAAACGTTATCGCATTGAATTAAGACGCCTGCACACTTCTTGTTTCATAATAATAGCAACTGCATGTGACATGCAAATTCACAGAAAATAAGAGTGAAACAGCAGCTTGTTTTTTGCAGTTGCTCTTTAATGGTATTTTACGAAGGGGTCTGGTTCCGGAGACCAAATAAAAGTGTACATAGATAGGTTTTAAAGTGCTTTAGTTTGGTGTGGAGAAGTTTTGTTTATTTGTGGATGCATACAAAGTTTTTTGGTCACATGCTCAATGTGATTAAAGTTAAAGGAATAGTTCAAGTTCCCTCAAACGAAAAGTCTGTCATTGTTCCAAACATATGACTCTTTTGTGAAATGTTGTTAACCGTTGTCTTCCATATGGCAAAACATAATCTAAAATTGCTTATGTTATGTTCTACAGATGAAAGAAAATGGTTTGGAATTACTTGTAGGTGAGTAAATTATGACAAATTTTTATTTCGATGAACTATCACTTAAACTTGATTTTGTTTCACAGCCAAACAAGATATTGCAATAAGGATTATTACAATAAAAGGCTGCATACAACATTCAGTGTACATTATATCCGAAGTGTTACTACTTTAGTTTGAATATATGTTTTCATTTTACCATGCACCCAGGTGTTTTTCTAAAATAATAATAATAAAAAAGTGGTCAAGCGTATACTGACTTGTGTAACTCTTTGCTCTTCAGGCTTTGGCATTCTGTAACAATTCTTTTGTCTCTCTCTATCCCTCAGGGTGGGTGGGGTGAGTGAGGGCTGCTGTGAGGATTCCCACACTGAGGGGCAGTCACACACTCAATGGTGTCTCCCACAATGAAGGCGTTGGTGGATGCAGTTTGGGCGGTGTGGAGCATCGGGGCCTCGATCTATGACTACATCCACACCAGTGCCATGGAAGAGCGCATTCACTCACTGGAGAGTGTTATAACCATCCACCAGTGTGTCATCGGCCTTCTGTCGGCTGCACTCGTGGCTCTCTTCACCTACATTCTGATAAGGAAGAACTGACTCAGGACTAGTTAAGCCAGACAAACTACAGCAGTGAAGTCAGAGGGAATATGTTGGTGTCAAGCTATGTTTTGCTCACCTTAAAGGGATTTTAACATGTCTGACTTTTACCCAATTGATAACGTACTAAACTTTAGCTATTCATTTAACTCATTCAAACGTTGCTGCTTTTTTATCAGTTAGTGCGATTCCGGGTAATCTGGCAAACCAAACCAAGTGTGGATTCCCATTATGTATTTTACAGGTAGTTCATGGCAACCACAGAGGAAAGGATTCAGAGATGCTACCTGACCATGGTTTCTTTACACAAGCTTGGGGAAAGCTGAACAAACACAACCAGTGGATTAGCAGGTTTTTCAACCTGTTTGCTGCCATCTTCAATGGAGTCAGCTTTTGTGTCTAGCTTACTTTTAAACAACACTTTAAACTTTTGCCAACAGCAAATTATAACTGTTAACCTATAATATCTCATACAGCTTATTTCTCAGCTCCATGGTAATTTATTAGTAAAAATCAGTGACATCGATTAAACTCTCGATTTCACAACTTGAAGTGTCCTTAATCACTAAAGAAAGGTTGATGTAGTTAACTTGGTACTTTAATCAGTGTATTAACTACTACTTGTTATTCTTAATGACTTTTTACTTTATTTTAGAGGTGAAATCAGTTGATGCTCCGCTATTGTGTTTTATAGATTTAACTTTTTTCTGAAGAGGTACTTGTTACACTTGCTCTGTAATAGCAAAATGAATGTCTACTTTTATAATGTAAACAATGTCAAGAGAATTCTGAATTGATGCTACCTACAGGCTACATCATTTCACCACATTTGTTTTTTTTGTAGAACTTTTGTTTTATTTGGTGTACTGGTGTAAGCAAGGGTTTGCCAAAACACAACAAATAATTTATTTAACATTTAAAGACAATAACAGTGTCATAATAAAATGTTTATTTCTGGAACAACATGGAAAGATCAAATACCAGCATGTTTCAAAAAATATCAAGAAGATAAATGGAAATGTTCAACAAATAGGCTTTTCAAATGGAAACTCCTGAGGTTATCCGTCAATGTGCCCTCAAGATATGATCAACACATGTTAAAGATTCATGCTGGTTTTAAATGTTCCCGGTCTGCAGCAGTGTGTACTTGGTGGTAAAACGCTCAACACTTTCACCCTCCAGGGTTTTAACAGCCCTCCAGTGGAGCTTCCCACAGTTCTCTGGGTTTCCGTGCCTAGCTAACTCTTCCTTGATGTAGTCGATCCACAGATCTAAAACATCAAATAGTTGTTGTTTCTTAGTGTTATATTTTAAAGTATGAAAGAGAGTTGCCTCTTTAAAGGATAAAAAAAAACACTGAATCACACTCACCTTCATCTGAGGAGCCGAACTCACGAAGTGCTCGCTCGTAGTAATCTCTCAGATTACTCATCTTTGGTGTAACCTGAGAGAATAATACAGATCAGCAATGGTCAGCTGGTTAATAGGAATTTTCGACATCCGTCACCGGGTACTACATCACTTTTACCTGCTCTTTCTCGATCTGAATCATCATCAGGAAGAATGCCTTAGTGAAGGGTCTGTGTTCATGTAAGCTGAAACCCAATAAGTAAAATAAAGGGTTGGTTTCAAGCTTATTTTTCATTTGTAGATATAAAGTGGGTTCCAAAAGTCTAAAACTGTACTGAAAATAATGTTTCAGGATTTGATTATGCATATGATTTTCCTCATTTGTAAATTGCTTTTTTTATATAGAAGTATCTGCTAAATTAAATTTAAAACAAAGGAGTAAAAGCAATAAAGGGAATAAGGCATGTCAATATAAAATAGAAATATTTAAAATGCAGACGAAAATAATTCTATTAAATGTAAAATTCCATTTAAAGCATTTTTACTCATGGCCTCAGCCTTTAGGGTCCCACTATACAGAAAGAAAGAATCTTAGAGCACATTTGATGTGTACCTTGTAAATGTTTTTCTAGCCCTTTTGTAACTACCAGTTTTGTATGACCACTCAAGGTATTTTTCCTTCATGGCAGCCGACACTGCCGGTACTGGGGACAGTAGGCCTTTCTGCAAGTATAGAATCAGGAGCAATTAATTACATTTGATATATTAACACAGTGGATTCTATTAGAACACAAATTCAACGTGTAATCAGGACAAAAAGAAGTAAGAAATGATTAGAATGCCTTTATATTTAGCATCATAGACTGATCTTGGGTGAATTTTACTGTAAACTTATTTTATTTTGTCATGTTCCACCTGAAAAAAGGTCTCAGTTTCCTCTGGTGTCTGTGAGGTCATGCTCCAATCTGCCTGCAGCTGCCATAATGCCAGACTTTCCTGTAGAACACATTATACAATGATTAAATATAAAAGAGATATCATTGGGTACACAGTTAAAAAATGTGTAGGTTTGAATGAAAAACATTCAACATTTTAGGATTTGGAAAAAAGGCATACTATTATTTTCTATGTCATTAATCAAATACAAATGCACAATTACTTATTTAGCAGACACTTTTATCCAAAGTGACTTAAAAATGAAGAACCAAGCAATTCATCTAAAAGAGGCAATAACACAAGTACCACAAACAATAAACAAAGTCTTCTGCTTACAGAGGAGACGAGTTTTTAAATGCTTTTTGAATATTGTAAGGGATTTGACTTAAGTATAACACATTTTGTATGACCCATTTGTACAAAAACTCTTATTTCCTCAATGGTCCAATCTCAATGTTCCAATGTACAATTCTGATAATATAACTCATGCAAATAAGAGCATTTGCACTACTGCTACAAGTCTTTTGGACCCCCACTATATAATATTACATTAAAATTTCACAATAGTGATGACTTCCCTCACTACTCTCCACCTTAAAACCTCTAATTCTGCTAGAAATGGATAATAACATTTTGTTTGGACATGAAACCAGGTAATTGTGCATGCTAATATTACTCTATAGCCTCATGTTCCCATGTGGTTGGATAACAGCCTCTTTGTGGGGTTATGTAACTAAAGGCTTCATAATCCTGCACACACGGCTACTTCTCACTAGCTTGTTGACGAAAGAGTGCCGAGGACAGATGAATGTGCAAACCTGAGTTTATCCTAGCAGAGGACTCATCACTTGACTAAAGTTATATATAAGCATTACTGCAGCTCAAACAGAGCATGGTGCTAGTCACACCAAGTTTAAGAGTTCAATTCCCAGGGAATGCATTAACTGATAAATTGAATGCATTAAATGCAATTTGAGTCACTTTGAATAAAATCCAAATGTAACTATAGTATTGTTATCCAATTATACTTAAAATATTTTTAAAAAAGCACCAAGTTCACTTATTAAAGTGGACTAATTAGGGCAAATCTGCTGTTGTAGGAAGATGTCCCACTTAGAAGCAGCTGTGGCACAACTGCTACCTTGGGATTCACACGTTTCAGGGCTTCCTGGAATAGATGTCCCGCCTCTGCGCTCTCCAGATGGACCAATGTCTGGAGGCTGAAGCTCCACATCTCTACTGATTGGCTGAAGCGCTGAGTGGCTGTGATGGCAATCTGGGTAGCAGATACTGTATCCCCTGATGACAGCAGGACCTGTAGCTGTTTTTTGAGGGGATATGAAGTGGCCTATATTACTACAGCAGCACCATTTGAACAAACTCATGCCAATGTATCAGTGAGATGCCAATGTTAAAGGAACACTCCACAATATTTTGAAATAGGGCTTATTCACAATGTCCCCTACATTAAAATAAATAGTAAATGGACTGCATTTATATAGCTCTTTCATAGACCTAAAGGCCACCACAGCGCTTTACATAATCACTCACATTCACCCATTCACACACTCATTCTTACACCAACGGCGGTGTCAGCCATGCAAGGCGCCATCCAGCTCGTCGGGAGCAGCTGGAGTTAGGCGTCTTACTCATGGACACCTCGACACTTGGTCAGGTGGAACCGGGATTGAACCACCAACCTTCCGGTTTGTAGACAACCTACATGAACCACTGAGCCACTGCCGCCCCATCAAACAGTCTTAATTTGAAAATAGTTTGGCAAAAGCATTTTTTCAAAGTGCATGCATTGTCTTAGTTTGGCAGCACCGACGCTAGCTTAGCATAATGAATGGAATCCTATGTTGCCAAGTAGCATATCGGGAGTAAAAGTGATTCAAAAAAACAAAACCTAATTACTTCTTGTGGCCTGTGTATTCACAACGAGTACAAATAGCATTTCAAATTTAGACTAGGCGAATAAACAGGCAGATATTGACTTGCGACTATATTAGGGTGAATCACAGGCGAAGCACTGCCACTTGTGCGCAGTCATATCACGCAAAATAATCACTTACTCTGTGGACAGCTGTCCATTGAGTCCATTCGGCGTGGGGCGTTTTTTCCCAGTTGACTTCATGGGGAAAAAAGTCGAGGACCGCAGGATGGATCAACGCAGAGAAATCATCGGAAGCTGTGACAACTGCGGATCTTGATCTGGCACGTTGAGTCTGGTCATCGATGGCAGTACTTTGTCTGTGCTGTGGCAAGTGGGACACTCAATTTCAGTAGGTATAGGATGGCATATTCCCCCACACTCACAACACCAGTTCGTGCTGGCTCTCATCCTCAGGCTGTTGAGCGATCGCAAAATCCTCCTTCTGTCGGTTTATTTCCATTGCACGCAGTTCCTCTTCTGAAAACTCTGGTTCGTAGAGGTATGGTTCTGTACCTTGACTGTCTGAGAAGTCACCATCTTGGTCTGTTTGTCTACTGTCGTAAGAATAGCAACCTAATATTCTAATAATTAAAGTAATAATAATAATTTGGTCCTCCTAATGATAAGAAGTAATTATGTTTTTTTTTTAAACACTTTTACTCACGACATGCTACTTGGCAACATATGATTCCATTCATTATGCTAAGCATCGGCACAGCGTCTAGCGTCAGCGCTGCCAAACTAAGAAAATGCATGCACTTTGAAAAAAATTGCTTTTGCCAGACTATTTTAATTTAGGGGACACTTTGAATAAGCCCTATTTCAAAAAACGGTGGAGTGTTCCTTTAAGTGTACATTACCCAGTTCTTGTAGTAAGTCTCTTGCAAAAGCTTGGCATCATGAGCACTCTGTAAGACTTGGAGTAATCGTTGCTTTCTCTGAAAAGTTGAAGTCACAAAATTGAGTTAGGTACTTAACCAGAAAACAAACAAACAAAAAAACAAATACCAGTTCCACTGTTGTCTAAAAAAGCAAGCAAGAAGGTAAGTATTAGTAACAGGAGACCAATAACAATATTTCTTTGTATTTTATAGCTTACTGGTTGTTGGTGTATTAAAGTATTATCATTAACATGCAATTTCAGTGGAAACAATATTAAAAATAAACTTCTATATAAAATTATTCAAAAGCCCTGTTTAAACCTGGACTGTAGATGTTTTGGTCGATAGGATCACAAGTGGACGACGCTAAATGCAGGTATAAATGAGGTCTAAAACATTTTGAGTTCAGCCACTAAGGAGACGCTCGAATAGTAGTGTGGCCAGTGTGTTCGAACAGCCCCAAAAGGCCACCTACTGACCTAATGCACAAACATTATGGGAGGGCGCTAGCCTGACTGGATTTAAAATTTGTCTGGAGACCCAAGTTTGGTTTGAAGATGAAAACGTACCAAGCACAACGTTGAAAAACACGTAAAAAAAGCTACTGCTCTCCATATGTTCTTTTGTTTTCTCTGGTCATGTTCGTTTGTAAATTGCGTGAGCTTATTTTTTCCATTAGATTGAAAGATCTGAAAAAATCCATACATTTACCCAGCCTCCCCTCGAAGAATTCAGGACAGAAGTGGTTGAAAGTGGACATAAGAGACAGATTAGAATACCAGATGTACATGTCAAGGTATGTCTCCCTTGTCTACTTGTGATCCGATCGACCAAAACGCATCTTGATACCAGGTGTAAACAGGGCCAAAGAGTGGCTTATTTTATTCACCTCAAACTGAGCTAATAAGAAGAACCCCTGTAAAGGTTGAGCATTTTCCTGAGACACAGAAATGCACACATTTCAAGAATGATGGGTAAGAATGTATAATATTGGTTATTGTTTAGCATGATATCAGTGTTGTAGTCAAGACCACCTCACTCGAGTCCGAGTTGAGACCGAGACCAGAGAGAGTCGAGTCCGAGTCAAGTCCGAGACCAGAGACGGTCGAGTCCAATCGAGACCGAGACCAGTGAGGGTTGATTACCTAATTTACTTTTATTTACTTAGAGAAATCCTTTTTTTTTTACTGAATTTACTTAGAGTTTAAAAAATATGATCAGTTTAGGCTAAAAAGGCCACATAGTAGGTAGTGTTAAAAGTAATTTTATTACAATTTGTCATGCGCAGTTGCGAACTAGAAAATCACCAATCACTGGGCGTGTCAATCAATTTAAAGAAAGATTTTATTAACATACATCAATAATCATGAAAAATATTTTGAATTGAACTCGAGTGGACTCGGGAATAAGTCTGAGTCCTAAAAAAAAATGTTCGAGTACGAGTCAATTCCGAGTCCAAATGCACACGAGTCCATGACAAGACCAAGACTTAAAATATGGTCTCGAGACCGAGTCTCGAGTACTACAACACTGCATGATATACCCAATTGTTAAAGTTCTCTATGTGCCTTTCACCTGCAAAGGGGGAATTACTTCATATTCACATTGCATAAGTCATTTTGTAAATCTGATTAAACAATAGTAAAACTTTATTTTACATTGTCATTGTTACACATTACATGAAGTTATTGTGGAAATAACATGCAACTGACCCTAAACCAACCCTTAAGAACATATAGTTCATACTCAGTACTTAATTGTATAATTACACTGCAACACAGACACCTTAAAATAAAGTGTAACCAATATCAAACTTCAATCAAAATGCCCCAATCAAGAAAATAGAATGCTATGCTAATCAACATTATATATAAATCTCACTACGACACCCCAATAAAACACCATTAGGCCATTACCTTTTCCTTCAGTTCAGTGACATTTGTCTTCCTCTTATATCTCTCAAGACAAAACGTGACATAGCATGTCCACATGGCCTCTACAAAAAGAAATTGCACATCAGTAGGCAAATTGTGTATAACTAGAACCATGAGAATCCACTCATTTCCACCAATGAATTCTAACTTAACATTTTTAGATGCAAACATTGAACATGTGTCTGAAGTAAGTGTTAGATTGTGATACCTGTATTAAGGCTCTTCAGAGCCTCCTCATAAACGGTACAGCAGCGATCTTCTCTGCGGTCTGTATCAGAAGCTCTTCCTTTCGCAGACTGGAGCTCCGGGGCACCGGCAGCATCCAGCTCACGCTTAGCCATGAAATCCCACATCAGGCAGTCATCGTTATACTTACTCTGTAGACTAAAAATCAAACTGTATTTCAAACATCACCACACACAACTTACTGTATCCACAAGTTTCTGAGAGGCGCTCCTGTAAAAAATAAAGTGGGTGAAACTTCTGGTGAGGCGGCGGAAGTAGCATTCCAATGGTATTTTGTGTGGTAGTTAGCGAAGAGGCTAGCTGTTTTTCGGAGAATTATTTTACTATTTAAAGATGCAAATCTTAATGAGAGATGTCGTTACGGAGCTCAGGGACAACATGTGCTGTTCGCAGTTGTATGTATAACCGGACTAAACTAATTCAGTGGCTTAAACGTGATTGTTTTGAACATAAGCTGAAAACGAAATCAGAGTGATCCTGCCAGAGCCCGTCTCTGATCCTGCCAACGACTGTAGTTTCCATCACCTCCCAAAAGACGACGAATCATCCTGTGTGTACATTTGTTTAAATTCTTAATATTCTATGAACTCTATCAGCATGTGATTGGCTGTTCGCTACTGATGTTACAGCTAAACTCAGGATCAAAGCCTGTGTATAATTTTGAATAAACTCCAAAGCACAATGACTAAGTGTGTATTTTTTATTTTAATTGTTTGTCAGCTCGCACAACTGTCTGTCACCATGCCTTGATGAGTACTGATTATTAATAATGTTATTATAATACTCCCAATCAACTACTGCAGAGGGTAAAGGTACTGTTATTTCACCCTTTTGAATTTCGTTGAGGTTGTGTTCCCACATCGTTAGCTAGTTTGGATCGCTATAACTTGAATGACTGTCAACTGTTGAATGAACGAGTGTCAAGCATGTCAAGTCGCGCTTTGTTTACTTCAAACCGGAAGTCGCGCCCACTTTTGACGCAAGGCCTCATAGGGCGCAGGAAACTTGTGGATATGGATTTTGACAATACTGGTTTCAGAGTAATTTTTTCTGAATTTACAAAAATTTTTAATTAAGATGATCATGTAAAAACTAAGACATGAAAGAGCAAAAAAGTAAGAAATTAATCTACATAAAATAGCAGAGAAAAAGGGAAAACTACTCTTGCAGGATGGTGTCATGTAGCTCCTTTGTGAAGTCAAAGATGGCAGCGATCTGTAGCAGGGACAAGATGAATTCAGCCCCTGATGAGACAAGACCGATAACCTTACAGCACTCATCTAGTACAACCTGAAACACTTGAGTTAAACAGCTCTGTGGAAATTCCTCTGACCTTTAATTTTTTGTACAGAATCTCTGTATACCACCTCAGCAAGTTTTCCACTCAAGATCTCTGGAGAAAATTTATATTCCCCCTAAATTGAGAAAATATAGATTGTTTTTTTAATTGCATTTTCCCCAAAGGCTCAGATCTTCACCTATTAACCCACCACATCAATTTTAGCTTGTTCCAACTCCTGCTGCTGTTTCCTCAATTTCTCAGCATGCATGAGCTCCATCCGAAAATACTGCGCGCACACACACACACACACACACACACACACACACACACATTAATACAGATTATAGCATGAACAGCTAATAGTGTGGACCTTTTATAACTAAATATTTTATTAGTTTACCTAGGATAATTCAAAGAGAAATGCTAGTGTCTCCTCACCTCCTGATAGACTTTCTTATTCTCTGGATGAAAGCGCAGGGCACGGAGGAAGAGATGTCGAGCGCTCTCTGAAGAGTTCCTGTCCTCCATCTCACACTTAGCAGCCATTATCCACAGAGCTGCAATTATGAAATTACATTATTCCTGGCCATCTGTTTGAAATTGTATACACAGATAAAGTAAATGAATATTAGGGCTGTTCAACGATTATCAGGATTAAATCGCATCCAAAATTAAAGTTTGTGTTTATAATATACGTGCATGTACGGTGTATAATTATTTTGTATGTATAAATACACACACACACTCATGTAAATATTTAAGAAATATTTGAACGTATATACTTATTTACTTTTAGCAGACACTTTTATCCAAAGCGACTTACATCTGAGGACTAAATCAAACAAGTCATTGTGCAATTCATACTTAGTAAAATGTTTTATATATATATATATATATATATATATATATATATATATATATACACACATATTTAAATAACACATAGCCTATATATACACGTTTGTATTTACATATACAAAATAATTATACACAGAACACACACATATTATGTTAGCCTATATATACACGTGTGTATTTACATATACAAAATAATTATACACAGAACACACACATATTATGTTAGCCTATATATACACGTGTGTATTTACATATACAAAATAATTATACACAGAACACACACATATTATGTAAACACAAACTTCTATTTTGGATGTGATTAATCATTGCACAGCCCTAATAAATATGTATACTTGACACACAGACGACCTCACAACACGAGTATGGTTCCATAGAGCAGTCGGAGTAATATAATTGTCCATTGCAATGACAATAAATCCACTAAAGTTTACCTGGTTTGTCCGGATGGATAGCTAACATAGATGACAAAACCTTGCTGAGCTGAGTCTTTGTGCCCTGTTTGAAAGATGAGGAGCAAAATTATGATCTTTTTTTGAAACCTAATGACAAACATAATATAACATCATCATTCCCCATTAACATGGATTTTTTTTTTGGTTTTTTTTAGTTTAATAACAAAATCACATACCCATTTCTTATTAAAAGCAACATGAGAAAGCCAGAGCTGCACGTCTTCCTACAGGAAAAGCATTTATTCAATCAAAAATTGAACATTTTACAGCACCTAAAGTGAGGTTATCGTTTTATATTGTCCAACCTGCCATTTTGTGGTAGCCCTTCTGAAAACATTGTTTATGCGATGAATGATGGGATACTCAATTTCTTCGCGTTTAAAATGGTAACCAATTCTCTGTAATCACAATGGTACAGTTCAGTTAAAGTACAGTGTAGTGCAGGGGTTATGAACTCTGGTCCTCAAAGACCACTTTCCTGCAGAGTTTAGCTCCAACCTTGATCAAACTCATCTTCCTGTAACGTTATACTAATCCTTAAGATCTTGAGAAGCTTGATCAGATGTGTTTGATTAGGGTTGGAGCTACATCTACGGGAAAGTGGACCACGAGGTCCAGAGTAGAGAAACCCTGGTTTAGGGTAACAAAGCTCTAAAGATAAATTATTACTAAAAAAAATATTTTACAATTAATGGACAGCAAAGCTCTACTCACCGCCCGCCTCTTCTTGATGAGCTCTAGGACATTTATGTCATACTGATGAAGAACAAAAATCAAACCAGCTAATTATAAGTCATATTAAGTTATTTGTATCATGCTGCTTACACCAACCCATCCTGATTTAGATAACCAATATGTATGCTAATTAGTTCTGTAATTCAAAAAATAAATAAATCAGCTTTTTGATAATACAGACCTGTATGTATGTAATAAAGTCATCTTTACTCTGAACTGCCCGGTGCAGCTTGTATTCAAGAGCAGTAGATCTTTTTAACATGGACCTAAAACAAAAGTCATGTTTGAGGAAACTGTTTGTTTCAGAGAAGAACCACTTTTTTCAGTTAGTGTGTTTTTACTGTGTTACTCACTTGACTTCTTTATTCGTAAACAACCCGACTCTCTCCAGCTGTTCAAGCGCTGGTATTTTGTCCTCTAATCGTTGTTGTACAATGTCAGCCATTTCTAAAAGTGTGTGAAGGAAATCTACAAAAATGGGTAAGATATTAAGAATTTTAGTAGAATAACGAAGACTCACCAACTTCACATCACGACACACGCGTGGACAGGAAGTTGAATGCGCTATATCCGGTTGCTCATCAGAAAAAAACTCCGACGAGAATTCTGCACACGAATGATGGATCCTCGGTTTTATTTTTAAAAGCTCGGCGTTTTAAGGAAATATTATAATTTAGACCGGTAATATTTACGTCTTTTTTCCGTTTTTGCGCAAGGTCGTTGAATGGCAAGGGACAAATCTGTCTATAGTTTTTCACTCTATCATTTGATTCAGATGTTGCCCACAATCATTATGTTGGTACATATTTTCGTTCTTTTTATTTGAAATGATAATTTACAATATATGATTAACTAAAGCTCTCGATATACTTGAGTCGTATCTTCGCAAAACCAAAACATTCTTGGCGGCAATTTGTCTCCTCTACCAATCTTAATACCGCGTCTATCAAGATCATTCAGCCCAATAGAAAACCTCGAATTCACCAGTCGACGTCTCTGATTGGCTATCACGATGCAGTAGGCCGGTTCTCGCGGCTCTTTCCAAGGGCTCGGGCGATAATGTAGTACCGATGTCCAGTTGGTAGGATTTTCACATTCAAAATAAATGCAATTTCGTTCGTAAATAACAAATATTTATTGAACTTTTAACGTTTATTTTAAACGGAAAGTGAACGGGTGTCTATATGGCTGGATAACCTGGTGTTATTTAACTGTGTTTTTGTCGCCGTGAAGAACCGCAAGCTAACTGCTAATTTTCATCTGTTGAGGATCAGTGACCAAACTGAGGACGCACATCAATAACATATTTACAAGTCACATATTGTACTCATATGAGTCATATTAAAACACGTACTAGTCAGAGAGACTAGTAACCACCGGTATCTGATGTTTAGGTGATGGTAGAGAGCTGGTTAAAGGAGCTAGGGCGGCTGTCTGTCATTAATGTGCAGATATCCATTTCGCCTGGTGTTGTTTTTGTGTAAAGTTCCGGTTAGTTGTTAGTTTATGATGGCTCCTCAGAAATATTCGGCTCAGGTGATGAACTGTAAAGCCAATGGTGCTGTATACCCGTCCTCAGGCGTGAGCTCACTCAAGAAGCCCAAGATGGAGCAACTGCAGGCCGACCATGAGCTATTCCTGCAGGCCTTTGAGAGTGAGTCCACGTCCGTCTCATTTAGCACACAAAGTTAAACCATTAGCTCTTCCTGAAGGCCTCTGTGAAAATACATAAATAGACTCGTATCTGTCAAAACATTTGATCATGACTAATTACACTGTTATTAGATAGGCCTACGAGAATGAGCCTATAGGTTTATCTTTGTGATGTTTTAAGGGTTTGTAAGTTACATGAGGCAACATTTTATTACTATCTCTAATAGCAAGTAATAACTGATTTTAATAGCAGCTACTTAAATCCCTCCATTTTATTGTAGATGAAGGCTGTAAATACGACAGATACAAGATGTCACTTTACAGAATACACTTTAAAATCAAATAATTAAAATAATTGTTAATACTTTTGCATTTTCCTTTCAGAGCCTACTCAAATTTACAGATTCCTTCGAACAAGGAACTTAATAGCTGTAAGTATACCTTTGTAAGTTAATCAAAATCCTTAACACTAAATTTACATTAACAGTAAAGTTCATTCTGGTTGTACTTGGTTTTATTTATTTTTTCTTGCTCTTTTACAGCCAATATTACTTCACAGGACCCTTACCTTCATGACTCATAGAAACTCACGAACAAATGCCAAAAGGTGGGTCCTCTCAATATTTTATAATGGTTATCCAAATATCTGCTTTACTTAGCTCTCTAAAAGTGTGTTTATTGAATAAACTGATCTTTTTTTTTCTTCAGGAAAGCATTTAAAGTGGACGACTTGCTGTCAAGTGTGGAGAGAATGAAAGGGGAGCCAGAGTCTCAGAGGTATTGGTTTTCTACTGATGTTTTGCAAGCTGTGTTCTTACAAAAGTGTAAGAAATCCTAAAGGCTAGAATACACTACACAACTTTTAAAACTTTTTGCAAATGGTTACAGAGAAAAACTATAGATTATACAACTGAGGATCACAGTCATTCCGAACACAACAAAGTAATGCATGCCTTATTGCTACGAGACACATGACAAATGTAAACAATGTTTTCCAAAACTGGCTCAAAATATCAAACATGTTTGGTTTCCTATGACTGGATGGAATCATAAGCCTTTTTTCCACCATTGGGCAGAACAGTTCTCATTGCGTAACTGTTCCATGCCAATCCGGACCAGCCCGGTATGGTTACGGTCTCATTTTCCACTGTGGGTCTGAACGGCCGTTCTTTGGAATGTAATACAAAAGCGTAAGTCGTTACCTTGGTAACGCAAGAGTTTATGACATGTAAATAGCAACTGCGTTATAGAGGATGATCAGATATTTTTTTAACCCTCAATCGGGTCATGGGGTCTATACGACCCCAATCGACTTTTACTTAATAAAAAAAGGTTCCCTTCATCTCAGTTGAATAAGATTTTGTGACTTTTCATACATTATCTATCTATACACACAAAAAAAAAAAACAAACAAAAAAAAAAAACGGGCTTGATTCGGTTGTTCTAAAGGTATGTAAAAAAAAAAAAAAAAATGTTTACATGTCTGGTCTTCCGGGGCAATATAACCCCACATTGAAATGAATGGGAAATGTGAAAAAAACGAAATATATTTTCTTCATGTGTCAAAAAAAAAAAATCCGGCATAAATCTGAAAATTTTTACACAGAAATGAAGGCCTAGTACTGGAGCATAAATGCAATGCATCATAAAAAAAAATAATGTTTCATATGCAAGCTAATGGTGTAGTTGAGGAATTGTTTGGTATATGGATACAAAAGTACTTTGTATCTCTGAAAACACAGCATTAATGAATAGATGAGAAGTAAACAAAAAAAAGATATATTATTTGTATGATTAAAAATATATATTTTTTTGTACAATTACTCAATCAATTGTTGAGGTTGTATAGACCTCAAAGCCCAGAAGTGTAAACAGGAAACGAAGGCCATTTGAAGGTTAAATTTTATTAATAATTTGTGTTTACGTCGCTCAAATAGACCGCTTAGCCAGCTACAGAGAAACTGGTAGCCAGGCAACAGACAAGTGACCAATTCTGAGATGTGATGTTACTTAATAGATTCTACCAGCACGGTTAGGCAAATTTGCCGGAAATGATTTGTAATCGTGCCGTACTAGGCTCAAGTGGAAACACAACTGGAAACGTTCCTTACCTTTCTTGGACCCTTTGGCCCGGCAGCTGTAAAAGCTGCTATAGTCTGAATATTAAAAAAAAATGCCTATAAGACGTGTAGCAATTTTCTGCTAAATCTGTCAGCACCAACTGCCCAAATTTGCAGATGGTTCTGATTTTAAAGGGATAGTTCACCCAAAAATTTAAATTCTGTCATTAATTACTCGCCCTCATTTCCTTCCAAACCCTTAACAACCTTTGTTCATCTTCGGAACACAAATTGAGATATTTTGATGAAATCCAATGGCTCCATTGGCAGTTACTTAATTAACGCTTTGATGGCCCAGAAAGGTAGGAAAGACATTGTTAAAAATGTTCCATGTGACTACAGTGGTTCAACCTTAATTTTATAAAGTGACGAGAATACTTTTTGTGTGCCAAAAAAAATGAAATAATGACTTTATTCAACAATCTATTCTCTAATTTAATGACTTCCCTATCAAAAATATGGCATATATATTATCATGTTATGATTTTTTTCAGGAAAATCACGATTTTTTTTTTATCACGATTATTTAGTTGGTTTTACTATTTTGCAAGTGAATGATCATTACAACTAGCCTGGATGCCAGCCCGAACTCCGCACACATTTTTTGGTCGGGAAGTTCGGTCTGGACTCGATCCATTGAGGAGAAATTATGATCAGACTAGAAACGTTCGGGCCAATCAAATTGCCAGGGCGGGCTTTATACGAAGATGGACAGGTGATCTGCAAGGACGTAATCATCACGTTATCAAAGAGCGCTTAACTAGTTTCCCTGCAAAGATGACTGCAGCTGGAGAATTGAGATGTATAGATTCCGCTGTCGCGTCTGTTGAGAAATAAATCGACAGCGCATTAATTTTAATAGACAAACAGAAAACTGCAATCAAGGCATTTGTCGATCGGAAAGATATTTTTGCCGTCCTTCCCACATGATTCGGCAAAAGTGCAACTTATCAGCTGGCTCTGACGGTCGCAAAGATGATGAGATGAAAAGCCTGTGGTCGTTGTGGTTTCTCCTTTGATCGCACTCATGGAGGAGTAAGTAAAAGAAGCAACACTCGTTATTTAACTTCTAAAATAAGTGAAGTTAGGCTACGTTCTGTAGTTGACAACTGTATGCCAAGTGCTGACTTACTGCATTGCTCTGATTGGTTGTAGGTTTACCTACTATCCAAGTGAGTGCAGAGTTGTTTTTTTTCCTGGTTCGGTTAAGACACGCCTCATAATCAAAGCCCTACGGAGGAGTTTCAGACTCATATTCCGACAAGAATATGAGTATGACGAAGTCAGGCTACATTACAGCCAAACAATGTCCCAATTTTAAAAACAAAGCCTTGGGTAACAAAATATAAAATAAAAAAATAATGGCAGACATTTAGGTCAAAGTGGCAGAGGTATAAATCTTTGTCATAATTTTTTTTGTTAAAAAAAATAACAAAGATGCACAACTTGAAGCTGCAGCCCGTAGTTTTTCCTATTTGTTGCCATCTCTGTTTGAAATCTGCAATTGCAGTTATTCGCGGAATTATCAACTTTATGTGGGTTATGCCTCAACGTGGCACAGCGTGAATGAATTCAATGTTTTACAGAGAATATGTTCCTGTCAGTCACTGCGTCAGTGTGGATACTGTCATTCAGAATCACAGATTCTACTTTTTGGAACTATGACCAACATAAGAATTTTCACTGGAAAATGTCATCTGAACAAGTAAGTAACATCCACTCTTGTTCTGACCAACTAAGGGGAAAAAAGCATTGCAGTAAATCGCGCTGATTAAATCTAACGATCACTTATCATATCGCTTCAAACTGTGCAAAATATATGTTCTCAAATTGTTAATGTTAACAA